TCGTTTTTAAATTTTATTTTCAATGTCAAATTCAAATTTAAATTTTTTAATATACATATCAACAAATTTAAATTTTTTACTGGCCTTAATAACTCATAGGAGCCGGGTATCTGGTTTTCCTTCTGGAAAGGTGTTTCAAATTATTTTCTCTAATAATAATCAAAAATAATTTATAATTTGCTTAGAGAGTCTTTCAAATCTACTTACTCTCCAAACTATCACACAAATTATGTTTGGTACTATTTATCATCCAGATATATCAATTGTTTTATATAAAACCTGAAAATGTCCCTATTTATGAACCTTTAAATGACTATATTCAATTTATCACTTAAAAATAGCAATTTTAAATATTATAAAAAATTAAAAAAAAGATGGAACAAATAGTTTTATCGGCAAAATCAATTAATTTTATATAAAATAGTCTCTTTCTGCTTTAATACAGCTTTTTGCACGATCCAAAAGCATATCGAACGACTGGTTTAGCTCGCTGGCCAGTATGGCCGCCAGTATGACGGTGCAAGTCTTTTGAATGGCCTCCACGTCTGCATAACGCTTTCCTATCATCGTCAAATTAATTTTTCTGAAAAGCATATGGCCATGTCAGGCACCGTGCGACTTCTACCTTTACAGAAAAATTCATTTGCCGATGAAAGGAAAGCGTTATGCAGACGTGAAGGAGGGAGAATCAAACACTCAACGTATTCACCTGATGGTTCAAATGTGATTTTTGGTCAAATAATCGGCCACAAGCGTCAATCGATTAGACGGTGCATTATCCATCTTCGCGATATGCGTACCGAACACGTCGAATACGGCGCACCAACGCTTCCAAGGCAGAATACCGCATTTACGTTTTGGCATTGCCTTCACTTTTGACTTCTCCAGGCGCAATTTTTTGGGTTTCGGCTCGTCCGGCACCTTCCAGGCGTTTAGTTTCGGGATCATATTGAAAACACCACATTTCGCCACCAGTCACAATCAAGGCAGTTCGGGGCTTGTTTTTGCCTCTTTAATGATATCCTTCGAATGTTGAATTCTAAGCAATTTTGGTCGTCAGTCAATTTGTGCTCATTTTCACACCGATGACAAAAACATACTGACACTTAAAACGCAATAACTTCACTTCCGATAGATGAAATGTCATGAAATTTTTACTGAAAGTCGATAAAAGATTGCAGATTCTAACGCACTAGTCGAAATATAGATGGCGCCACTAGAGAGCGCTAGCTGCAAAAAGTTCTGTTTACTTTAGAACGCACTTTGTATTTCTTTATTTAAAGTAATAACTTGAGATTATAATCCTATTTTAGAAAACGATGGACTGTATCTAAAGAGTTTAACTGCACTCCTATTAAAAATGGAAGTAATTTCAAAACAACTCGAACACCTTAGAATGTGGTACAATTAATTTTCTAGATCTTGTAAGTGTTGATTAATAATGAATTGAAAAATACAACAACAGATTACATGGGTGATGTTGGTGCAGTGGTTGGTTCGATCCCTGCTATAAAAAGTCTAATAAGGAGATATGGTGATCTCCGAAGCAGCTCCCACTTCTACCATTTTTCTTTGTTTTATAACAAAATATTCAATTCCTACAAAGAAACCAGGTTTTGAGCTTACTTAACACTTATTATGAAAATCCATCTAGTTTATTATATTCCGAACTTCTTTCGCTATTTATATTCATTATGATTGTGATATGAAGCCCATGGCATCAAATTTAATCTGATGGGGTAAAATATTTTCAAAATTAGTTTCGCCCTTTTTGCTTTCATATACTTACGAGTATGTACATATAGTAAAAAAACTTGACAATATTTTTGGTGAACATAGATATATATGTCTGTACATATGTTGCTTTTATGTTATTTAATTCTCAGAACATCTTTTTTTGAAATTAATTTTAATGCCTAGAATATCAAAACACTTCACAAGTGTTTCTATTGTTTCTGCCATGATTTCAATTCCTCTTCTGCCACAAATGCAATGAACACCTTTTGAATATTAAGAAAAATACACTGCCGTCTCCCAACCATTAATCGGCAGCAGTTTATATTCAAACAATGTTACGTCAACATCAGCCGAGATTCTTATTGTTGCTGCGTATAAATTGCTTCTTAAGACTTAACAAATCGCGACTTGGTGTTAAGGAGAAACATAGAAGCTCCAAAAAGATTATCGGCCCGTTGATCTGTAGTTATGTCAATAATTACTTAATCAATAATCGGTACAAATACTCGGAGAGGCTCTAGAAAGGCAGTTATTTATAAATAGTACAAATCCTAGGGTATTTATTGACTTTCCCCATGTTGGGTCTTACTCTATGTCATAAATTTTCAACGATAATTAAATTTGTACAATATATTATTTTAAAGTAATTGAAAAGTATTGAGTTGTGTGTTTTGTACTCGCATAATATAATATATAGCCACACTTCTACTCCAAGAGCTTTTGTTTTTGTGCTAGATAACTACCCTTCAAGGGTAACCCTTAGTTACTATTTGTACATAGATTTACGATTTTTCGAGGGCACTAAAATATATTTTGTTTTTATTTTCGATTCGTAAAATAAATTTGCAAATAGAAATTAGTGACCGTTTCCTAACTTACAAACTCAGTTCATATTACGATAGATACAACTCGTACATCAAAATCTTTAGATATTCCAAATCTCCGTGAACCCGAACGAAATGCCTGTAGTAAAACTCAGATTCAGTACATGAAAATTTAAAGCGAAAATTTTGGCAAAAGTCGCCTCCAAAACTTGAAATTCGTTTATTTGGTTATGAGTAATTACCTATATACTCGTATGTGTATATATATATTTTTCTGTATTTTATATAAAACTAAATATACTATTTCCAAAAGTGTGCTGATAACAATATCCTGGTAAATGTTTCATAATCAGAGCCATAGAAATACCCAGTAACAGTATAAAAGTAAAGAAAACAAGGCTTGCGTTACCCAGTGCGCCTTTATTGAAAGAATACACTTAGACAAGCAACTTAACAAAAAGGATTCCACCTGCGTGCTAATTCTGATTTCTCTTTCATGATTTTTATATCTATACTTTGTTGATGAAAAAATAATTATTTTCGAGTTTTAGGTAAAGTAAAAATTAAAAACTTTTCCAACTGTCCCCCAATGTTTCCAAAATTTCTTAGAAAAATGAATTAGCATCCCAGTTTACGTGATATTTTGGCAACGATATTTTTTTCTCACAATAACAACAATTATATGGTTAGTATTTTGAGCCAATATATTTCTATTTATAAGATAGTGCATTTTGAGATTTAAGCCCATTAAATAAAAGTTTTTTGCATCCTTAAAAAGGGCAAAATAGGAATAGGAAAACTAAAGTTTTTACTTTTATTTAACGGCCATAAAGCTCAAAATATACTATTCTAATAATAAATATGATTTAAGTGTTTAACAAAATTATAATAAAATTTATAACGAAATATTTATACGAAAATTTATAAATTATAATTAGAGATAGTCTGTTAGACTGGAAAATGCATGCTATAGTGCACTGGTCGCACGGTTTTCTTCTCCGAGCAAGGGCACCACAGAAAAACATATATAATACATCTATTATATACAAGGGGTTTTCCAATAAGAAGTGTTATTGTGAAAGGTAAACGTTGTCCAGGTTAATGCCATCTAATTCCAGTCCAGTAAAATCTCTCGATAGCGCAATCTATTCATTTAGTAAAAATTAGGGTCCACTGGCCTCGTCGGACCATTAACCGCACCAAACAGTTACACGGTCAGGATGAAGAGGCTTTTCACCAATAAATCTTGAGTTTCCCGAGCCCCAGATGCGACTGTTTTGCTTACTGATGTAGCAATGAGAAGGAAATATGCCTCAACAGTCAAGATGACTTTCAATGAAGTTTTCATAGCGAATTTAAATAATTTCTATGCCTACAGACATAGTTTTACTAGTCAAATATCAAAATGTGCAGAAATTTAATATTACAAAAAAAGGAAAACCACAGAAAAATTTTATGGCCCTAGAATAATGATCTAACACTTAACTTCTACCAGAAAACACAGAAGTTTGTGTACAGAATTTTTTAAAATTTTGCAAATTTTTTTATAGAAATTTTTATTTGATGATCTTATTTTAAATAACAAATATAAATTACAAATATTATATTAATTCTGAAATGAAATGAAGTCAAATGAAGTCTACAAAAGATAAGGAAAAGTGCTAAAATATTATAGACTTCATTTATCTTAAAAAAAAACTAAAAGTTTATTCAGTAAAACTTATAGAAGATTAGAATCAAAATAAATGTTATTATTAGCTTCACACTTATTAGATAATAATTATAACATTTTGAATTAGTGAAAGGGATAAAATGCAGGCTGTCCATAAAATTTGAATTGCGTTTTTTTTGATGTTGTAATTAAAGTGTTTTTAACTTAAATGTTCAGTAACACGAACTAGTGCGAATTCAGCACCCTAATTACTATTTAAAAAAAGTAATCGAAACCGGTTAATTCGACCTCAAATCTCTTTACTATTAGTTTATTAAACTGCTGTGCTGATTTCTTGAATTTTCGAAATATACCTCAGTTTAATGCTTTCAGCAGTAGACAAACCAGTTCATTGTCGGGCAAAACAACTCTCATAACGCGCCATCGAGATACGTTTTAAGGCATCAAACAGAAGAATGAATTCACCATTGTAGCCATAGAATGCAACACAAGCGAAAATGCGTTTAAAATTGGGTTGAAAAAATGGGCCACGCAAGGCGAACAGCGTCAATCATATGAATAAGCTAGTGTTCCATAATTAACCGAAATATTGATGCATTTCATGCAATGCAAAATTATTGAAAAATAGTTAACCGTCTTTTTATAACAATTCTAACACGGAAGTTTTCCGTCGCTTATTCATAATATGACTTCAGCTTGTAGTGAAAATGTTTTTAAGCTGTTTGCAATATTAAATCAGTTGCTTAATGGTAATTCGTTTAACTCACCTCCATCTTCGTTCGACCCTTCGCTTGGTGGGCCCGGTGCCAAATTTTGTCTATTTCCTATCATTAACCGATGTTGAATGGCTACTGTTGCTACCGCTGCCGCTGCTGTTGTTTGTACCGCCGAAACATTTCGCATTGCAACACTTAACCCGGTTAAATTGGCAAAGGCATTACTAGCATTTACCGCCATTTGGGAGGCAGCAGCAGCGGCGGCAACATTTTGCGAATTCGTCTCAAAACGAGGGCGACCCAAAAACGGACCGCCGGCAAACACTCCCGGCACACCGAACTGAAGAAATGGTCCCCAAGGAGGAACGCGTACTCCACCAGGTGCCAATTGGGCAGCTGCAGCATATAATTGTAATGCAGCTGTTGGGTGTAGGCCTTCCGGTGGCATAGTAGAGGTATTGCCCGTGGAACGGAGCACTGCTCCTGGGCACGAAACAATACTACCGCCACTAACCGTTGCACTATCGGAATCGTTGACTGGATCAGCCGTCGGGCTTAAACGTCCATGCGCTGTCAAGCGTTGTAATTGCAGGCTTTGTTGTTGTTGTTGTTGTTGTTGTTGTTGCTGTTGCTGTGATTGTCGCTCCAAGACCATTATGAAATAGGAACCAGAAGATGAGCGTACATACGTTATGTAACACGAGACAATGACGCTCAACGCTTTGCAAAAGTCTTTATACAATCAGCACAAAATTCTCACTAACTTTAAATTCACAATATTAATTGCACAAAATCCACAAAAATCATCAAATCAACCTATATATACATATGTATATATATAATATTTAAGCGTACACATAGATATATTCACAATCGTATTGTCGATGATCCTTTCCTGCTTTAAAAATTTTTCATTTAATTTATTTAGTGTTGTTATTGTTGGCTTATCATACCAATCAATTAAGATTCAATTTTGTGGCGGTGTTAATAAAAATAATTGCAATCTCACATAACGTGCTCGGCAGGCAGGAGAGCCGACGATGTGAATTCCGGTTTAGACATCGGCCAACTCAATCGCTACCTCTTACTAGTTGAACCCGAACCGCACACATCCTACACCACTCTTTCAGCATCAGCGAAAATAAATCTCCACTCGGAACAAGTGAACCACCGACGGTAGCACAAGCCGAAATGTGCAGCAAACCGAACGTAACAAATAACAATCGAGCGCTCACCATGAAAATTCAATTTGAACTGAGTGCTGCAACTTGACTTTAGCGTCAACAAACCAAGGCAAAACAAGCCAGACAGATTAACCACATTGCAGCGGAAGGCTGCGATGAGCAGAAAGAAGTCAACGAATCAGTGGCCGAGCAGACGATGAGACTACTATGAACATGAGATCGTTACCATCACTGCGCTAAGGCACTACCATCATACCCAACCAACATCCACCGTATGAGCTATTATGCGAGAACGAAAGCAGCATGGCGGCGTCGCACTCTCTGTGGCAGTGCGAGTGAGTAGGAAATTCATCAAACAGTCGCTTAATTCTATTCCACAGACTATTTTAACTTCGTATACCAATAGTAAAATTGACATTCCGACCTCCGCCCGCAGGTTATTCAACTTCTCCCATTCCTACCATAAACAACTCTGCGCCATTACACTCTCTACTGTTGTCACTAAAGTCCCTTCCCCAATTTGCACCTTCCAGCCCCTTAATTGTTTATTAGCACACACAAATTTTAAAGTGAACATATGAGATATATGTACATATATTTGTACACAGGGGGTAATTGTTTGTATGCACAAGTATCGTTGTTCGTTTCCAATATGGACGACAATGGCGGTTTACCCGAGTACCAACACCACTACTGTGATATGCTCTGAGGTCCATCTGCCTGCAATGCCATACAGATGTATGTGCCAGAGTGAGATGACGCGATTACAATGACCTAAAATACTGGGAATTTTAAAATATGTTTTTTTTTTTACCCAGAAATTTTATCAATTTAGGCAGCCTATTTGACTGGGAAGAATGGGAGTGTGTGGGTATTGCTTTTGTGTATGCGGAGTTTATATAGGGCGGAGTTTTTCTGTATATTTCAATTTGCGCTCATAAAATTATTATTTGTGCGCTTGTTGCTATAAGTGCCTCTGTTGCATGCCGGCAATATAGAAGAAAGCTGAAGCGATCCGAGTAGACCTGGGAGATGGAGGTACGATTGCTCGCTCGCTTATCGTCGGAGCATTTCGACGACAGTTGTTGCTGCAGTTTGTGAAGTTATGTAGACGTACATCCATATATACATATGTATGTATATAAATGATTTTGTAAATATGCATGTGTATGTATATATTGCTGTAAAATTATTCGTGTTTATACATATATATGTGCATACATGCATATGCGCAGCTATTACAGGCATTTATTTACATCACATGCACACGTACATAGGTATGTATGTATATATACATGGCCTGCTAGTTTAGCTTACAGGTATTTGTAATTTTGGACAAAACGATATTGATTAAATGGTCATTTATACAAACATACCCATATGTATGTAGGTATTTGAATATTCAAATCAAAAAACCTTTACGCAAAAAACTTGTACGATAGGCGCATACATACAAGCACATATATACATACATATACGTACATACATACAGTACTTTAGATATAGTAGATAGAGAGTAATTTAATAAAATTATTTATCTATTAAACTGACTGATGTGCGTGTAGATTCATGATATTGAACTTTATTGCCTTTCCCACAAAATTATTGCGATCTGAAATGTGGGTCGGAGTCTTGAGCCTCCAAGAAGTCTCAAATATATATCAAATTAATATACATATGAATAAAATTTGATCCGAATTATAACCAATCTCTAAAACGATGTTGAAAAATATATCTTAAGATATTGCAATATTAACTTTTTTCATCAGCAGATAACCCGTTCATGGAAACCCGTTAACGTTATTGTTACTCCAATTAGCAGTCGATCCTGGGTACATGAGATTTTAGAAGAACTGGCACAAGTCCCAAATTTCTGTTATTAGAAGCGATCCTCTTGCTCTGCCAGAGGATGTGTATTACCCTGCTTTGGAGATAACATTTGAAATCGGAAGTAAGCTTGTGGCTGATAATTCTACTTTTAGCCCTAGTTTTCGATTCAACTCTGCGATAGCTAATTTTAAAGAATCGAGTCAGGAACTTTGATATTTGATAATATTGAGGCAAGCTTCTTACATTTTAATAGTACCATTATTTCTCTTTTTGAAAAATGTGTACCTTCAAAGCCTGGGCTTGAACTTAACAAAAAATTTCATAATGATTGCATAACTAAGGTTAAGAAAAATATTTTACACAATCCAAAGCTGTTCTATGATTTTGTAATCTCCAAGCGTAAGCTTCCTTCCTTTTTATCCGCAATGAAATAGAAATCTACTAAGTCATGTGACAGTCTAAGTATTTCCAGTATGTCCGACCAATTTTTTAAATCATATTATACAACTAACTCTAGATGTGGCTTGTCCGTCTGTCAACATCACTTGCATTCAACAACAGTAATTAATACACCAACTTTTTTTGAGATTGATGAATCTAAAACATTCTTTCAGTTATGGTCCTGATATGATTTCTATGAATTCTACATGCTTTCTGAAAAGTGGTTCAAAAATCAGTATATGCCTTTAACTCTACTTTTTTATTCCTCTCTCAAAACAAGGTGTATTCCCTACGATATGAAAGCAGTCTCTTATAGTACCCTTATATAAGAGTGGTTATCAGGCTGATTCTCACTGTTACCGGTAAAGTAAATTTTGTTGCTTCGACAGAATAGGCCTGTATTTGTCTAATATTAAAATCTATAAACAATGTTTACTAGATAATGTTTTTGATCTCCTCACAACTTTTAAATTTTACAACACCGGTTTTTGTAAAAGAAGTTCAACACTAACATTTGGTTGAATTCGGGCCACACATCTCCAAAGCCTTTAGTGATAATATTCAAACTGATGTTATCTACACCGACTTCAATAAAGCATTCGATAGGGTTAATCCCTAAATTCCCATTCACAAACTAGATCTTCTTGGCTTTCAACCAAGATTTCTTCAATGGGTTTCCTCGTATCTTTCCAGTAGAGCACAACGGTTAACATTTACAAGCCTATTCTGTCGAGGTAACAAAATTTACTCTGGTATTAAAATTTACCATTCAGTAAATTTTGTTACCATTTCGTATTCTGAGCCCACTGTTACCCTGTAAATTTTGTTACCAGCGAAATAGGAGGTAACAAAAACAACTGCTGTTTGATTTTGTGTTGTAAGTTTGAGAAAAAATAAAAATCCAAACTTGGGTTGGCATATTTTAGGCCTGGAATTCATTGAAGATGAAGAAAAAAGTGCAAATAGCCGTATTTTAAGAAGTTTTCGAGGCAAAAAATAGCCCGTAAGATAACGTTTCCATTCAGCTTTTTTTGTTATCCAGGCATATTTTTCACAATTAGGTTCAAATATTTATGATTTAATAAACAAATTCAAAAAACTTTAATTTTTTTGTGCACCGTTTTCCATTTCGGTGTGAATATTTTTTCTTTTTACTTTATTAATTGGCAAATGTAATTTGACATGGACGAAAAAAGCAGTGCTGCCAAATTTTCTTCAAACATTGTAACCAGTTCTCCAGAATACCAAATTCAATTTCTGGTGTTATAGAAGAGTTGCAAAATTTACTTTACCGGTAACAGTGAGAATAGGCCTGTTTAAGACACTTTGTCACAATTATTAATGCCTCATCAGGAGTTCCTCAAGGTATCCATCTCGGCCCGATTTTGTTTCCGTTATTTATCAAATTATATATCTTCCGCAATATGACATTCAAATATCTATATATCTTACTATACGCCGATGATGTAATATACCTCATTCGACGAAAGACTTTTGTTAAAAAACGATCTAGACAATTTAGCTATTTGGTGTGATAACAACAATATGCCTTTGAACTTTAAGAAGTGTAAGGCAAAGTTCTTTTCAAGCAGACTTGTTAAATCTTCTAACGTGGCGGTTCCAAGACAAATTCCTATATTCAAAGGAAAGTGAAAAAGTAAAATATTAGAACTGAACACTTACCCTATTTTTTTTCTTCATCCCGTTATACTCAGATATTTAAAGGAATTTCATGCATACAGCATAAATATCAATCGCTTGATACGTGCCCCTATTGGCAGAGCAGGCACTGAAAATAGCTGCAATAACAAAGGGTTGTTCGTCGATTTTCTGAAGAAATATAGATGGTATTTTGAATTAATTTTGAAAACAGTTTATAAAATATTAAAAAAAATCAATTTAGGCTATTAGACATTGTATTTGTATGTAACCAGTTCTAATGATATTTTCATGCCCGGGAAAGGGACGTTGTTCATATCTTCAATAGTATTTCTGATTCGGTTGGGTTTGGTTTCTACCAGGGCCAACATTTCTGGGAGATACCACTTTTCAGTGTTGTTGCCTTTATAATATGTATATGTATATAGTATATAATTGGCGCTTTGTAACTACTTAAGCGATTTTCTTCTTCCCATTTGTGGTTTTGCGTCCTGGTGTTTTTTTTACTAAATGGATGGGCCAACAGTTTAAACTAAGCCGCCACCGAACTGATGATGGTTTCCCTGCCTAGAGGCGACCGCAATTAGAAATTGTAGCTAATTTTTTATTTAAATTAATTTTCCGTAAATTTCGGAAGTTGGTAGCACCGGGATTTGAGCCCCAGATCAGATAATGCCGGAAATATATTCAAAATCTACAAAGTCCTTAAATCAAATAAATAAATGCCAGGACACGCTACAATTATCATTTGAGAACGGACTTGGAATCCGGGAAGAAGAAACTCTAATGAGTACTGTTAAACCGACGAAACCGTGTGCACGACTTTCAACCTCACAGGTGCAGCTACGTGCTAAACAGCTCTGCACTAACTACCACTCTCCCCGGGAAACTATCAATGAAGCATTACTTCACGGGTAGTGATATCTAAATCTTTGGTCATTATTGAGTTCTTAAATTTATCTTGCTTATTGATTACTGGAAATTCAATTGGTTAAAACAGTTACAATACACCGCTAAATACCATTTTCGATATTAACTGTCTTTTTTTGTCAACAAGCACAAATAATTAATAATGAATTATACATTTTATATTCGTCAAAACTTGGTCTATCAATCCATAAACAAAATACAAGAAATCAGCTGTCACGCGACTGCTAAAAATTTGAATTTCAGTTGCTAATAAGTATAAGTCCGATTTGAAGTAATGTAGTCAGAAAAACTATAATAGTCTTAGCAATTTTCAGGC